CGTTCTGTACTGAGAGAGATTGCTTAATTACATCATATGATCATATACGATTTAAGTTTCTTTCAGATATTTTGTACGTTGAGGTGAGATATATTCGAAATTAACCAGGTTTTCATCTGTACGACTTTTTTTGTGAGATATATTCGATATATTCGATATTAAGATTGTTTTTGTTTATTTATATAGATCATTTGGTGTATTATGTCGAATTCTAGTGTTATTGATGATGATTTGTATTCTTCTACGAGTGAGAGTGAAGAAGAAGATGTTGAGAACTCATTTTTTGAAGGTATCAGTTATTGAATTATTTTGTTGTTTTTAATTTTGTTGATTATCATTTATTTACATATGAATATGTTAATATAAATAAATTGTTGTCTTATTCATATATGAATAAATGTGTGATAATTGTAATTTCAAATTTATTGTTTTTTCGTTTTATTCATATATGAATAAGTTATGTTTTATTTACATATGAATATGTTAAAATGAATAAATTGTTGTCTTATTCATATATGAATAAACGTGTGTTAATTGTAATTTCGAATTTATTATTTTTTTCGTTTTATTCATATATGAATAAGTTATGTTATATTTTATATATTTTGAATCCTCATGAATTTTATGTATTCATATATGAACGTTTTATTCATATATGAATGTTTTTTGTTTTATTTATATGAGTTTTATGTATTCATATATATTATTGTTTTATTCATGCATTATTATTTTAGGTGGTGAATCTTCAAGTTCAGTACATGATACACAATATTTTGATGATATAATTAGAGAGCATGTCTATAAGCCAGATGTACCTGTTCAACTTATTCCATTTAAGGGTTTAATATTCAAATCATTAAAGTTGGCTATCAAAATGTATTTTGTGTGACAACCATCAATTTCCGGTCAAGTCAAAGTCAACCGAAGTCAACAAGTCAAATCGTTCGACTCATTTTGCACGTGGGTACTACAGTTTATGTTAGGTAAATACTAAACAACTCTCTATTCTAATGAGAGATCATAAATCAAAAAGTGCGAACATCTAGATATCCTTAACATAAAACTGTGGTACGTGGCGAGCCAAACCGATAAAACAATGTTGCATACTCATCTGGAGTGTGTAAGATCCTTAAACAAGGCTTAACAGGGTTTACGAACCTTGCATTGCGAAGTCGGACACTCACAAATGCCACACATGAAACCTCTCTCAATCATTTTCACTCTATCTCTTCTTATCAAGAATCTCTCCCAAATCTCTCCAAGTATGTGAAATCTCTCTCAAATATCTCTCTGTATGAGAAATCTCTCCAAGAATGTCAAATCTCTCCCAAATCTCTCCAAGTATGTGAAACCTCTCTCAAATATCTCTTTGTATGAGAAATCTCTCCAAGAATGTCAAATCTCTCCCAAATCTCTCCAAGTATGTGAAATCTCTCTCAAATACCTCTCTGTATGAGAAATGTCTCTCAAATATCTCTCTGTATGAGAAATCTCTCCAAGAATGTCAAATCTCTCCTAAATCTCTCCAAGTATGTGAAATCTCTCGCAAATATCTCTTTGTATGAGAAATCTCTCCAAGAATGTCAAATCTCTCCCAAATCTCTCCAAGTATGTGAAATCTCTCCCAAATCTCACTCAAAAGTTCCTGTAACTTTTTAGAATCATTCGGGTCATTCCGACCCTTAACCGGGTCAAAAACGGCTCAAAACAGAGTGAAAACGAATAAAATAGGCTTTAGGAACCGAAACCAAGAAGAGAGGCCTCTCGGGCCGAAACTCGCGAGGACCGAGCCTCTGCTCTCGGTCTCCCCTCTCGGTCTCTGTCTCTGCTCGCATCTCGGTTCCATGCCGCCTCTCTGTCTCTGCTCGCATCTCGGTTCTATGCCCGCCTCTCTGTTTCTGCTCGCATCTCGGTTCCTCCCGCCTCTCTGTCTCCTTCTCATCTCTCGGTCTCTGCTCTCTCTCTTCCCTTCTCTCGGTTTCTTCTCCTCTCTCGGCTTCTGCCCTCTCTCCTCTCGGTTCTAGCATCAGAAGACCGAAACTCGGCCAGATTTCGGAATTTTGTCACTTTTAGCCCATTTTTGAAATTTTTTTAACATTTTAAGCCCGTTTTTCGTGATTTTAACGCGGGATTTTCTCCAGAAATTATATTATAATATAATAAACCCTAAATATTCATAATTTAAATATATTTTCATGAAAATAATTATCTAAATAATAAAAATCTAATGGGGGATTTATTTAAGGTGGAGTGTTGACCTTGCCTTATCTTATGTCACAAGCAACCACCCCACATCCACTCTATGACCAGCCACACCTCCCCACCTTACCTAGGTCACTTCAATGTCCCTTACACTCAATTTCCACCCATTCCCACATTTTTAGAGCTGGAACAAAACATCCTCTCTCCTCATCTCTCTCATTTGCTCTCATTTCACCAAGTATCAAACACCACTTTTCTCTCACACTTTTTCTCTACCAAATTCGAAATTCAAGGTTGATTTTCAAGTGTTCTTCCACTCTTAGTAAGTATAATTCATCCTCCTTATGATTATTGCACTTCATTCTACTCAAATCATTGATTGCTTACACAAACTCCATAACTATGATGTTAGATCTTCGAATCTTCAAGTGTTCTTGGGTTGAACACTTATCTTCTTCAACATTTATCTACTGAAATCACTCAAGGTGAGTTCATACCCCTACATTTTCATGTTTTCTCAAGTTTTCAGGGGGGGAATACAAGTTAAAACACCATGAACATAACTAAACTTTTCTAACAGCCTTCATCAGAAAAGTTCAACTCCATTCACGGACTGTTTTGGGCAACTTAAACATTTTTGTTTTCGAAACTGTATAAGGTTCAAATAGTTCAAGTTCTTAGCTTTAAAATTACTACTTGCACATCTCCATACGATTTTTCTACAATTTATGGTGATTTTTACAAAACTACCTATCATTTCAAACAACAATCCGGACCAGTCTGTGGTTATGGACTTTTTCACCCAAGTTGGAGGTCATTAAAAACCTTAATAAAAATTATGAGTAAACTAGACACATTTTGGGAACTCTCAGAATTTACGGATCTAGTTTTTGACTTCGTATGATTTTTCTATGATTTTTCCAAAACAGTGCAGAATGGTTAAAGTTAGCTAACAGCATATAAATTGTATTATGTTGAGCAAAGTGTATAATCATAAGTTCTAATTATTGAATGTGTTTCCTTGTTAGTTAATCATCATAAACTGAAACTAAGTTATTTATAATAAATATTATTCATTCATTTTAGAACACGTATATTAAACTATAAAAAGCATAGTTTAATGGATTCATAACATTAATGCATTTCCATAAACGAGTTCTTACATATTACAAACGTTTTAGATAAACTATAATAGGTATAGTTTATGATACATCACACAACACACTCGTACAAAAAGGGTACGTTCATACAGGAAAGATTTACATTGACACACATTACACGTAAACTTGTTAACCTAAATTGTGAGACATTCTCTTCCCGTACGTCCGAGTGCGGGATATAATTCCTGGTAGTTATAATCAGAGTCTCCTGGAGGGAGAACGTGATACTTGTATATAGATCTATATTGGGTTTGACACCCCACACCTTGCTGCTAGCTACAGTGGGACCTGCAGGTCTACGGGTGACAAATGTCATTTCAGTTTCGCGACGCCTGAGAAATGTCGTGGCAGGTTCATTTAGTCATAGTATGATTATAGCGACTCACATAGGGATATAACAATCTATAAAGTTTACGGGATTTTATTTATAAAACCTAAATGGGTTTTATGTCGATTTAAAATCACTTTTTATCTCAATGAGTACAGATATTACTGTACACTTTCGGTTTTGGTAATTATGACTATACATCATTTGAAACCACATTTATACCATTAAGTATGGCCAATACTTGTTATTTCTTGGTCCTCGGATTTAGGAGTACATATACATAAAGTATTAACAAACATAAGAATATACGGAAATTTCATTTAATTCTAACGCGTCCATGTCCATTTAAATACATAACATTTTCTATTAGTAAGAGAGGTTACTTATACATTTTGGTCTTCGGTCATAAGACTACATTACACAGATTTTAAAGAAAATATCGGATTTTATGGATACATATTCTAACGTTTTTACAAGGAAAACGGTTTACTTTTTAACGAAATCTCTTATGAACTCACCAACCTTTGTGTTGACACTTTTTCAAAACTACTTGTATTCTCAGGAATTCAGTGAAAACAGGAAATCAACAACGTTTTGAGGATGGGACGATAAATCGTCAAACAGTTCATTTTGTATCATAATGTGATTGATGTGAATCATGTAAACATGTACTTTGATGTATTTTTTTTAATTATATTTGTGATGGTTGTATTTACTGTGAGCACTATTATACTCGTTGTTGAGATACTCTACATGAAGTCGTCCACCCCCGGACGTTTCCGCCATCCTTGGTTTGGGGGTGTGACATTTTGAGTATGCTGAAATTGGTGGTTTTGATGTTAGACTGAGCACACAGTCAAGGTTTGATAACAAGATTATAAAGAAGAACCATGTTATATGTAATCGTGGTGGTAAACAGAAAAAGAAATCTTATGACACATTAGGTACACGTGGTGTTAGGAGGAAACGAAATTCAAATTCGAGAGCTATTGGTTGTCAAGCAAAGATTATATTTGAATATGTGTATGGAACTCCAGATTATAAAGTTTTTCAGTTTGATGAACTTCACAACCATCCACTTGAGAAGAGAAGCGATTTAAAAAAGGCGAGAGAAATGTCATATTCAGAAAAAGAGTTTATTGTGCGTGCTTCCACATAAAAAAATAGGTCCAACTATGGCTCATAAGTTGAGGGCAAGTCTGAGATGTGGGTATGAGTTTGTAAAGCCCAAAGTAGTTGACTATAAAAATTTAAGGAGAGATATCAACAGGGTTATTGGTTATAAAGATGCCCAAATGATAGTAAACACAATGAATGACCGTCGAGTTCACTATCCAAATTACTCATTTGAGTTTAATTGTCAAGATGATGTTTTGGACTGTATGTTTTGGGCTGATGAAATGGAGAAGGCATATTATGCTGAATTTGGTGATGTTATCTCGTTTGATGCGACTTTCCGAACAAACAAGTAAGTTATTTTATCTACTTTTGTTTATAGCTTATTCATATATGAATATTTTTATATTCGCTTATTAATACATCAAAAATTGACTTTAATGAACATTTTTTTGTGTGTTAGGTATCGAATGGTTTTTGTTCCGTTTACTGCTATTGACCATCATAAAAAATCGGTTACTGTTGGATCTGGGTTGCTAAGCAATGAAAGCATTGAGTCTTACTCTTTGTTGCTTAAAGCATTTCTTAAAACTCATGGGAAAGAACCAACACTTGTTTTAACTGATCAAGATGTTGCAATAAAACAAGCTGTTGAGAATGTGTTTCATAATTCAAAGCACCAATTATGTATGTGGCATATAATGAAAAAGTTGAAAAAAATGGTATTATTTTAATATATTTCAAATATATTACTTATTAGTATATTCATTTATGAATATTGATTGTTATTTTACTTATTATTTATTCATTTATGAATATTTTTGTTTTAATACAGATATCAGATGATTTATTTACAAACACAGACTTTAGAAAAAGGTTTTCGAAGCTTGTTTGGGACATTAATATGAAACCTGATGTTTTTGAGGTGAAGTGGCGTTTTCTTATGAAGGAATTCAATCTTGAAGACACAAGATGGTTTAAAGACATGCTTACAATCGTGATTCATGGATACCTGGATATTTTAGTGATATTCCAATGTGTGGTTTGATGAAGACTACATCGAGGTCAGAGAGTATGAATTCATTCTTTAATACATATTCAGAAAGTGGGAACTTACTTTTGAGTTTCATGATGAATTACGACACTGCCATTCAAAAGCAAAGGAATACTCAACGAGAGCTTGATAAGGCATCAAAGAAAACATCATATAAAATGCAAACAGCTCGAGAAATAGAACTGCAAGCATCAAAAGTTTATACAAGTACAATATTTTTTGAGGTGCAAAAAGAAATATATAAAGCATGTTTTTTCTGTACATACTCATATGTTGGTATTGAAGATGGTTGGGAAGTTTACATTGTGCAACACAACAACAGTTAAAGTGATTTTAAAAATGAATTTAAGGTAATTTTACTTGTTTTTTATGAAAAATGTAATAATATTCATATATGAATATTATATGAATATATGAATATATGAGTGTTGATATGAGTATTCTTATGTGAATGTAAATATGTAAATTTTGTTTTTGTATCGATTGAAATAAAAGCTGAAGAGAAAGAAATAAATTGTAGTTGTGAACATTTTAAGCGTATGGGTGTTTTATGCAGACATGCTTTTACAATAATGATGAGATGTGGTGTTAAAGAAATTCCTAAAAGGTACATTTTGAAGTGATGGAGAAAGGATATGATATCAAGAAATTATCGTTTTAGTTCTGTTCAATCCGATTCAGGTGATTGTGAGAATGTAAAGCTAGTCAATGATTCATATTATAGTTTTGAATCATGTTTGGATATTGTAAGAGATGACAAAAAGAAATTGGATTTGTTTGCTGAGAAACAACAAATGTTGTTAAAGGAATTTGAGAGTGATTATATTTCTCCTGGATTGAAAAGCAAGACAGATGGTGAAGTCGTATGCAAGCTTTTCGGTTTTACTATTCCTATTCCAGAAGAGATTAACATTCATGTTCCTGAAGTTCAAAGCAACAAAGGTTCTAGAATCAAGAAAAGAATTTCAAGTGCAGGTGAAGTAGCATATGAAAATTCTAAAAAAGAACATAGAATGTGTTCAGGATGTGGAAAACGAGTTCCACACAATTTACGTACTTGTCTAGAAAGAGTTGGAGCTGCTAAATCAGCAAAAGACAGTTAGGGATTTTTTTTAATCATTTATGAATATATGTAGATAAAAACAATAAACAATAATATTCATGTATGAATAATACACATTTATATTGCTATGGTAAATTGATATGTTGATATTTGTTTTTAAAGTACTATAAAATAAGTTATATTGATATTGTAAATTATTTATAAATGAATACAAATATATGAAATTTGTTATACTAATAAATAAGTAATATTCATATCTGAACTTTTTTATGTTAGTATCTGAACTTTGTTATGCTAACATATTATTTTGAACTTATTCATAAATGAATATATCATATTCGTATTCATTTATGAATAAATAAAAAAAACTTTGAAAATATTTGAATATAAAAAAATGACATAAATAAGCAAACTTGTTTCTACTAATAAGTTAGTTATATTCATATATGAAATTTGTTATATTCATATATGAACTTTGTTATACTGACATATTACTCATAATTTAATTATAAATGAATATATCATATTCGTATTCATTTATGAATAAGCATAAATAAACTTTGAAAATATTTAAATATAAAAAACTGACAGAATTAAGCGAAGTTGTTTCCATTACATAATCATTCAACACAAGATAATAAAAGCTGTTCATAAGCATTTCACAAAATATTAAAACGATGTTCAACAACATTTAAGAAACCATTTAAAACTTGTTTCGCAGAATCATCTTAAATGTACTTCAAATCTATTCATCTTCAACACAAACTGTTCTATAGCATCACACTTCAACATTCTTTCATCTTCACAAGCAATCATTAATATTCTTTTAACCCTTTTTAAATTGTTTGCATAGCCTTGTATGCATGATCAGTACACACTTTGAATTCAACTTTTTGATATTTTTCAGCAAGATCCAACACCTTAGCCTTCAACATGTTAATTTCAAAAGTTAGCATTATGTGTGCCTATCTTTGCCTGAGCTTCTCTAAAGTAGTTTGCTGAACTGCACTTTCTTTATGAAGACCTGGTTTCCACTTTGAGAGTGGTTGTCCCATATATGTCTCCATATGTCTCATTGCAAAGACCCCACAATCAACTTTGTTTTTAACTGTTCTCCATGACATTTCAAGTCGTTGGGGTTTGATACTTTCTTTTGAAATTTCATTTGCTCTTGGATGGTTTATTTCTTTAAAGTATCTCACAAACAAATTTTTCTGATCATTAAATAAAATAAAAGTTAGATATATAATAAATTGGTTCTTTTATGTTGTTGTGAACTGGGTACATACCAAAGGTTTCAATATTACTCCGTATTTCCCTTCATAATCCCCTTCAACTGCACTATTGTCTAGAATTTCAATTGATGGTTTCTTTAAGTTGAAGACAATCACAAAAATGTGAGCACTTCTAACAACTGGAAAGAATACCTGTTTTTATGTATATAATGGTAAGTATTTTGTTGATAAAATATATATAAGAAAACAACTTTAATTAACATACTATGTCAATATCTTTTATGTTCAAGATTTTTTTGTACCCATTGGTACTGTCATGAAAGCTCTCCTTGAATTTTTCATACTTTCTTTTATCAGACAATGTTGAAGTTAGATAAGCAGTCTGTAACCAATATAATCATATGTGAATTCCAGTTGAATATATATAATTATGTTAAAGAATACATGATATTTGTATAATCATATATGAATTTAAGCTGTAAAAAAATATAATATTCATAAATGAATACATCATATTGGTGTATTCATTTATGAATAAGGAAGGAATTAAGGTTAGAACATAAAATTACAGAAACTCCAACTTTCAAGAAGAGTCTGTATGGTGAATTTCCAAAATCCCTTTCCAGTTCTTGGGCGTTAAGTAAATCAGACCAAGTGTCTAAAACTTCTCCAAAAATCTCTGTGTTTGCATATAGACTTTCCATAACTGCTCTTTCTACTATCTGACCATATTTTGTTTGGACAACCACATCTCTGCAAATATATATTCAAAATGTCATAGATTATTATCTATATAATAATCATATATGAATGTATATAAAATAAAGTTACTTACGATGTATTGCCTTGTAAGTTGAACAACCATTCACAGACAATACTCTGCTGATGTGTCAGTTTGGGTTTTGTGCCTGTTATTCTGCATTTGAAAGGTGATTTGAAAGCATCAGCAAGCTTCTTCTCTCTTGGTTGATCCAGATCATGCTTTGATGGTCCTACTTCAGTAGGAATTGATACAGAGATTGGATTTGGATTAAGAACATTTTTCTTTGGTAATCTGATAACAACCTTCTGATGGTCGTCTTTGATTTGTTTCTTTGTAGGTGCTTTTTTGGTGAAGATTCATTAGATTTTTTACTTGAAGTTTGATCTGAATCTTGACTGAGACCTAGACTAAAGCTTGGATGAGTATCTGCATGCCAGGAGATTTATCATATAAATAGTTGTAAGTTAATTATAATATGTGAGTTTATATTTTGAAATGTTTATCCAAATTGTTACCTCCTTTATTTTCTTTTGTCTTGTCAGCTTTTTCTCATTTCTTGTTTTGATTTTCTGACTTTTTCTTTCCTAAAAGATAAAGAACTGTGATTAAGTAATTCATATGTGAATAAGTAATGTATTCATTTATGAATAAGTAATACATATAATTATTTATGAATAAGTAATACTATATTTTTTTTATTTATTCATATATTGTGTTATTCATTTATGAATAATAAAACTCACTATATTCATTTATTAGTGAATCAACTATTTACCTCTATCTTTTGCATTTCCTTTTTCAATTTCTGTTTGTTTTTGTTCACCTCCATCTTTCTTGTTCTTAGCTTCTGTTCCTCCTTCATTTCTATCTTCAGAGTTTTCCTTGCCTGAAACATATACATCATATATGAATATTTTTTATTTTTTATTCATTTATATAGTGTATTATTCACTTATGAATAAACAATGTTATTAACAAAATCAATATAAATATTGTAATATATTTTAAATCATTCATTTACCTGTATCATCTCCCTTTGTTTTTTCAACTTTTGTTCCTTGTTCATGTACACCTTCTGATTTTTCCTTTTCCGCAAGAGTATTAGTTTTACATGTACTCATTGGTGATCCTGGTCAAAATTTAACAAACAAAATTGTTATTGTGTATTGATATTTTTATATATATATTTTTTTTAAATAAAAGTAAGACAAAATTTACCTATATCAATATTATCGAAAATAGTTTTCATTTCAGGGTGACTCCAGATTTCATCTTCTTGACTAGTTAAACTTGAAACTCCAATTCCAAGGACATTGTCCACAATGTTGTCAACAACTTTATCCAACAAATTTTCATTTTTAGTTTGTTGAATAGTCTCTTCATGATTATTTGTTTCCTCATCATGATCATCTTTTTCCTCTTCATCATTCTGATTTTCATTCCTCTTTCCATCTTTCTCTTTTACTCTAATTTCACCTTCTTTTTGATTCTTATCTGCATCATTCTTTATTCCTTCATTATCTGCTTCATTTGAATCAAGCAAATAATCTACTTCTGATTGACTTGCACCATTATCACTATCGTCTTCACCATTTCCCTCTTTAGCTTCATATTCTGTTTGATCATTTGTTTTTTTGACCCATTATTGATGTCAAATTGAATCCTTCAACTCCAGTTTCATTAATTGGAAAACTAAAAAGTGTTGTGCTTTCAGTTTTTTCTTCAACAATCATATTTGTCATCTTTTTTTTGAAAATTCTAAAACTTTCCTTTTCAGGGAACTTTGTCATCGCATCATTAAGCTTTGAATTCAGCTTTTCCTTCATCCTCTCAAAACTATTTTTGATATTTTTGATTCATATGCCTATGTAACAAAAAGAAGTATATGATTAGAATTTAATATAATAATTTAATGTAATCATATATTATTAACATGTTAAAACTAATTACCTCAACATAATGATCTTCATCTTTATCAGAATCACTGTCTTCGAGATCTGTATCTCCTTCATTTTGTTCATTAACAAATTCTTCGTTTAATTCTCCAACTCCAAATCTACCTTTTTCTTGTTCAAATGTCTCTCGATATCTAATCTTCTCTGAACTCCAATAACAAATTGTTGGACGTTTACGTGTTACTGTTAAAGCTTCTGAGTGGATGTTATCAAGATAGAACAACTGCACATAAATAATAACTAATTGATATTCATATATGAACAAATAATATTATTTTTTACTTATTCATAAATGAATAAGTAATGTAAAGCATTATGTGTGAACAAATATATTTTTCTTATTCATATATGAATATTTGCTATTAGTTTAAGAATAATCAATATTATTAAAAATTGAGTATAAACATTATAATAACTTACCACCAAGAAAGTTGAAGGTCCAACAAAGAAGCTGTTATCTGAGTATGGTATGTATGAGTTTTTTGTTCTGACAAGACAGTCCAAAACATAGTTGCACCAGTCTATGTTGCTGATATCTGTTTTTCTTGAAATATAACTCAAGGGAAACAGGTTGCATCTTCCCATTGATGTTGAATCACAAAAAGTGTTGACAAAAAGAACTAAGAAGTTCAATTTGAAATTGAAATCAGCTTGTTTGGTAGAAACAATAATATTTTTGATTGCACTCAGTCGGATAATTGAATCTTTTTTAAATTGTTGCTTCCATTCATCATAACTTGTATCATCCTTAGGCTATTGATCCAATTGTGTAAGTTTGTTTCCACCAATTGGTATGCCCAATATGTCATGAACAGACTCTGCTGTTACTTTCAATTCCTTTCCTTCAATATCTATCACCATTCTTTCATAATCAAATTTTTGAAGAACATAAAATCCCAGCTTCAGTGGTATATCCGTGATTTTCATTTTTAACAAAGCTTCAAAACCCATAGATCTTACAGATTATTTTTGTTCTTTGCTCATCTCAAGGATTACAGATAGTAATGCCTCTGGTAAACATCTGTTTTTCATTGAGTAAAATTCCTTTACCAATGTTTTTTTTTTTTTTTGTCTTTTTTGATTGGTGACTCCTTTTTTTTTTTGCCTTCTTCGATGGATGACTACTTTCAAAATCAGAGTCTGAATCTTGTAGTTGTTGTTTTTCAGGAGTTTTCCTTTTTGATGGACTTTTCCTGATTTGATGCTTTATTTTCTTTGGTAATTTTGTTTTTTTTATCTTGGAAATGAAAACATATAATATTTGAATAAGTTACTGATATATAAATATGATATATTGTGACAACTCAACACTTTTACACTAGGCAATCGATCCATGTATCTATAATTACTTGAATTTAGCATCTTTTAATAAATGTGGAGTCTGCACGAGTACCTTAGGCTCAATATATCATACATATGGACCTTAGGAAGGGTTAGGAAGGGTGTTGCATCACAAAATCTAGCCAAACACACCAAGAGAGGTGTGTGCGGCCGCACACTAGTGTGTGCGGCCAGCCAGCCGCACACCCAGCAACAAACCCCTCCAGCCTCACACTCAACCTTATATAAAGTGGAGGACCCCCTTCCATTCACTTTTGGCTGTATCCTTTCTCTCTCTCTTTCTCTATAATTTCTCTCTCTAGAAAACCACCCAAGAACACTTATAAGGCCTCCAAAACGTGAAGAACATCATCATTCAGCTTGTCATAGAGGTAAAACACTTGAGTCCAAGCCTCAAACTTATAATGTTCTTCGTGTTCTCCATCCCATGAAGGAGTGCGGCCGCACACCTTGATTAAGTGGCCGCACACACTCAAAACACCCTCCAAAGTGAGAGTAAAGCCACACAATCGATACATAGGACTCAAACAAGGAGTGTACGGCCGCACACCCTTGTGTACAGCCGCACACACACCCTGGACGCACACTCTAGTGTGCAACCTCACACACCGGTCTGTCCGCATTCCCCAGCCGCACACTCACCTTTATGGCCATACACACACCCTAATACCCATATTTGGCTTTAAGCCTGCATAGATCATTGGGTATAGAACATGGGACACTTAGTCTTAGAGATTCCAAGCCCTTTAGGAGGGATTTCCCATCATGTTTAGTCATGAAACACCTTAGCTCTAACTTATATATGTGTCACCATATGATTAATAGGGGCTACTTGCGTTCAGAGCATCCATTGACACTCGACACTCATATGAATCGCACAGTCGAACCCTACGTTAAACGGTGAGTTCATACCCCTTAATGAACCTTTTCAAATGTTTTTACATGTTTTAGGGGGGGGGGAGATACAAATATACTGCTACAAGTTTTATTATCAAATCATATGTGATTCATAACTTACCATCAAAAAGGGATTTTTCTATACTTTTAGCTACTTATCAATAAAACTGTTTTAAATAATTATCAAATGCATTCTTAAGGTTAAAATGTTGTTAAACTATTTTCAACCTGTGTTTAAACTACTTTTCTTTTAAAATTTATCCACACTAATATATTTATATAAGTAAGACTTGAAGGACTTAGGACCGATAGCTCGCCTTATTTCCTGTTCTTGTTTGATGTGGTCTTAGGGTATCTGTTATCCGTTCAACTGTCGTTGATTTCTTAGTTATATATCATGTATATTTGTGTTAGATATGAAAGTCTTCATTTTATTCAATACCTTTGTTATTCAAAGGCATGAAATCATACACTCTAGTTAACTATAATAGGTATAGTTAAGACTACTGCTTGTTACCTCTATTACTATTATACTCACTATAACTGCTATTACAAGTTAATGTACATATAAGAGAACACTCTATGTACTATACTAAAAGTCTACTACACTATAACACAAGAGAATACACTAATCCAGAGTATAACACACTATCCCTCTATAAGGCACTCTACCGCGCTTACACTATGTGACCAGGGCTTCCCGGAAGGAAAGCAACACTACATGTATAGATCTATACAGGACGGACGCTATTACATCCCGACTATTAACTACAGTCCGAGCCGACTTGGCCCAGGGGTGGAACTACATCACTACACTACGTATGACCGGGAAGGGCATCAGGCTCTCTATTATCATTTAGTTGGTTACATGAGGGATTACATCTATATCCAAATTAATACACTAAGACTTAAAGTCTAAACTAATATCCCGAAGTAAATGAATATCTATTACTATTTGAAATTTGCAACACTACTACAGTCAGCAGGCATAACTTCTCCGCACCTATGTTACTTAAATGAGAATTATTACTATATTTTTTTTATATAACTGAAGGTTCAATGAAACTACTTTTATACACTCAAAGGATTTAACTTACAGATGTACATTTCTAGGAAATATAGGATTTTCTAGGGGTTTCTATTACTCACAAACATAAGTTTCAGTTTTATATTACATATTTGTAAATATTTTTATACAAATAACGACATTAAATTCTTATGAACTCACCAGCTTTATGCTGATACTCGATTTCAAAATAACTTGTATCCTCAGGTCAAAGATAGACAGGTACTGGTGCAACTTTTAAGAAGATGGAGCATATACAAGACCCATCTTTTATTTTTGTTTTACTTTTGGTGTTTATTAACTGTGCAGAACATGTTTGTAATTATAATCCATATATTAATGAAATGGTTGTTGTCACTTGTTTTTACTATTATGAAATTGTTATGATACTGTACATGACGTCCTCCATCCCAGAACGTATTCCGCCGTTCTCGGTTTTGGGGTGTGACAGATTGGTATCAGAGCCATTGTTTCTAGTGAATCAAGTATATCAACCCATAAAAGATATACGAACTATAAACACTTCGAGACTAAAGCACTCTGACCAAGAATATATACTTTTAAATACTAAAATATTTAATTAAGTATATATATATATACATTCACCAATACAAAGGGTCAGTATCATTCTAGAACAGAACATAAGTATTAAAGATTGTTGAACAGCATAATTAAGCTTAGAGACATATAGTCACACCTGGGTGGATGTGGCCTGATCAACTACATCTCTCTAGGAGTGACTAGCATGTGTCTAAGAGTAATTGTGGTGTTGCAACAAGTCTAAAACTTACCAACACTACCACAAGAATGTTAGAAAAAGAATACTATAGGAGTATTCCGCATTCTACTAACTACATATGTGATAAATAAAAGGGTCGTTAATGGTAGGGCAATAATTGCTAAGTGGATACACCACGGCTACATGTGACTAGGGTGCTATAGACTTAGAATCTGTGGCCTTTGCTTCATTTCTTGTTCTTGTTTGATTGGGTATTTGAAGTTAGGGTCGCTTATTCGAAAGACTATCTTGCTTTGGTTACATGTAATTGGTATGCACTATGCAAGTATTGGGTCGAATAATAACGATCCATCTTATAAGTATCATAGAAGAGTACATCTACTAACCTTTCTTTCCCCATTCTCGCGTAGATAGCATGGCTGGCTTCCACCATCTCGACGATCCGTATTATCCAAATCAAGGCAATGGAGGATGGCTCAATGAGGAGCCAGAAGATGATCATCCGATCCATTTGGACGATCACCATCCAGAAGGCTTTTTGAATAGTTCCAGCTCCGAGCCAGAAGTTAACAACCTACCCCCTGTAGCTCCAAACCCCAACCCCCGTCCGACATTTTAAGGTCCCACTCCCATGTGGGCAATAACCTTGAACCGATGGAGCGAGGAGCAGCGTCAGCCTTTACCTTACAATGGAGACCGAAGCTTCTACAACATAAGCGAGGGAGGATCAGCGGACCGAGTTCTGCCCATCATGGTCTGAAGAATTGCTAGGAACATCGATCAAGGTCAAGCGGCTGTTGGACGACTTGTAGAAGTGGAAACCAACTCTAATCTCAACACTATTCGCATTTGCCACCTGGAAGAAGCTATGGATAGGACGAGGAGGACCAACGAGGCTCTGCAGCAACAGTTAGTTGCATCCCGAACCGAAGTTAGGGAACTCCAAGCACGTCAAAGGACTCATGAACGACAACTTCAGGAAGTTATGAGCCAACTAGCTGATCTAAGGGTTCGCCCCATGGGTACCCGTCGCTAGTAGAAGATGTCAAAATGTCTCACTCTTTTGTTTAAGGATTAGCGTTTTCTTTTCTATGATCAGTAGAGCACTTGTCTGTAAACATCTCTAACTTTGAAAATACTCTAATTAAGCTTCTAGACTGCCAACATTTCCCCTTAGGGTATGATATAGGACCTGCTGTTAGGTCACTTTTCCTGAATTTATGCTACATCATGAATGCTAGTAATATTGGCAGTTATCTACTTTGTGGGAATTACTATATTTACATGTTCCTCTACCCTATGGCTATGACTCTATACGATTTCTGGACTATGGGAATTCAGTTCGTGAAACTTTCTCATCATGATTACAACCGATCCTTACTATTGTCATCATCTCTATGAACTTTCAGTAAAAGATGCCTCCCCGCAAGCGCCCGAACAGAGGCAGACCTGCGACTCAAACTCCACCACCACCACCTCCTCCTCCGCAGTTCGATCCAGTGCTGTTTCAAACAGCTGTGACCGCAACTGTGATGGCAGCCATGGCCCAAATGAATTCCGGCGATGCTAGTGGATCCGGAATGGGCACCAACTGTTGGGTTTTGATATAATACAACATCCTATGGTGCACATACAACCCTAAATACCTTGGATCTATGTTTTCACTAATTATACATGCAAATGGTTTCCAAGGCATTAAACCTATAACTAGCATGCATTTGACATAAACCATATAATATACTAGTTAGGGAAACATACCTTTTATGTGGCTTGAAGTCTTGATGTATTTGGCCTTAAGAGCTTAGCACCA